GTATATTATTGAATTGAGTATATTTATCAAACAGTGGACATCTTATTATTTGAATGGTAGATCTGCCCCTGGTCACAAGCTCAAAAGAAGAAACACAGGATGGCTGCTCAGCCTCTCCAAACCTTAAACCTTCCAAAAACCCATCACAGAAGTCTTTCCCTCTATAAGAATCAACCTAGGATTCCATCCTGTCTATCACCATCATCATCACTCAAAGCATTTCCAAGAATGAGGAACAAATACCCACCAATATATGCCGCATCTGCAGAGCCTTCTGTCCAGCAGCAAAATCAAAACTTTCCGGTACTTCAGGCATTGAGTGACAGTGATCGCAAGGAGGAGGCCATGGTTTCCATCAAAAACTCGCTTTCCAATTGTTTGTCCGAGACACATCTCGATTTAACCGTCCCTGGCCTCAAATCAAAGATCCGCGGCAAGGTAAATTATAAGGTTGATATTGGGCACTTGAATTTTCATGGTTTGGGTCAGAAATAGGTAAAAGATTGCATTTTTTATTTTAACAGACTGAAACTTGAGAGACATTTTATTATTTATGTTAAAGCTCGCATCTTTCTGTTTCAATATAGTTGTGCATTTTAATCAGAAAGGGAGATAAGTTGAAATTGTGGATTCAATAGTTTCCGATCTTTCTATGAAGGTTAGGGATATATACGACGGAGGGGATTATCTTGTTCTGGTGACAACTGACAGGCAAAGTGCATTTGATAGGATTCTTGCTTCAATTCCCTTCAAAGGCCAGGTAAATTTAAATGTATTTATAATCTTGTTTACAGAAAATGGATTCTTCAGTTTGACCTATTAAAGATTTGTTTGTGTGTGTGTGTGTATTTACAATTCGAATAAGTATTGAATCATGTAGGTGCTGAATGAGACTAGTTTATGGTGGTTCAACAGAACTCAACACATTATTCCCAATGCAGTAGTAGCATCACCAGACAGGAATGTCACTATTGCAAAGAAGTGTTCAGTGTTCCCTGTTGAATTTGTTGGTAAGTTTCATTTCATGTGTACAATTCAAGATTTGAAGGCTGTTTTAACTGTTGTCTTAAACTCCCCCGCAACCACTGTATCAAAATAACCACTGATTTAAAATAAATATGAGCAAAATTTAGACTCTTGATCACTATTACTAGGCCAGACCCTACTTTTGTGGGATTCAACTGGGTTGTTGTTGTTGTTGTTGATCCCACTATTATTAGGACATTTTAATCTTAGGTTTCTAAATTTGATGTTTTCCATTTTTTGTGCATGAGGCATGACGGTGAATATTTTTTTTCCTCTCTTTGATTCTTTCTGGTGACATAGTAAGCAAAAAACAACCACAAATTGTACGCAAATTGGGTCAGATGAGTTATAAAATGCCAAAAAGTAGCAAGAAATCTATAGTTGTGTCCCGAAAGTTAGATTATGGATGGATAAAAATGGAATGACCCAATAGTTGCTGGATCGAAAGTGGAATATTTTTTACTCTGTAAAATCTAATGACATAGGGGTAAGGTCTGCATACGCACACCCTCTCTAGACCCTACTATTGTGGGATTTTGTTGGGTTTGTTGTTATTTTTGTTGAGTGACATATACTTTTGGCTAGTGTAGTTAGAGGATATGTGACGGGAAGCACGGATACATCACTCTGGACTGTTTACAAGAATGGGGTTCGAAATTACTGTGGCAATGTCCTCCCCGATGGTAACTGTTTGAATATAACGACTAATAAATAAGTTTGTATATGTCCAAAACTATGTTTTTAGAAATTTGTACTTACAATTGACAGGACTGGTGAAAAACCAAAAATTGTCAACAAACATACTTACCCCAACTACGAAAGCTGCAGATCACGATGTACCTGTAACCCCAGATGAGGTTTTATTTTCTTCATTACTTCTTTGGGATGTACTTAGTTTCTTCCTTTCCCTAATTTTTTTGTGATTTCCAACAATGCACAAGTAAATTCAAACAAACGCATATTGTTTTCTTAAATTTTTGCTTTAATTTTTAATATATTGCTTCATACCATGTATACTTATTGCAGATAGTTCAACGAGGGCTAATGACCCAAGATGAGTATGACGAAGCAAGTAGGAAAGCCTTGAGCTTATTTGAATTTGGGCAGGCAAGTTGTCTCGTCTGCATTTGTAGAACTCTATTTTGTCTTCATTTTAAGTAAATCTAATCTCCCGTTTTATTAACTTAGCAAATCTCTTTCGATCATTTCTGACTGTAGCGTGTTGCACTAGAACACGGATTAATACTGGTGGACACAAAGTATGAATTCGGGAAGTGGCCTGATGGAACTGTTCTTTTGATCGATGAGGTAAATCGTTTTTACTTTTGAGTGGGGGTAAGGCATGCGCGCACACACCCTCTCCTGACCCTACTTTTTGTAGGCTTTTACTGGGTTTGTTGTTGTTGAGGTAAATCTCTTTTACACACATGCTGCTACAGCAAGAAACCCAGTAAATCTCACAAACAGTGTTCTGGGAGGTAATCTCTTTTAAAACACGAATCTCATCTTTCCGAACGAAATAGTAAAATTGTAATGATCACTCTCAGGTCCATACACCCGACTCAAGCAGATACTGGATTGCTCGTTCTTATGAGGACCGCTTCCATGATGGTGTAGAGCCTGAAAATGTCGACAAGGTTTATTAATTACGTAGTAGTACTTCAAGTAACATACTTTGCATTGGTGGTTTTATAATCTGTTTTCTAAATTAATTCATACTTGTAGGAATTTCTGAGATTGTGGTTTAAAAACCACTGCAATCCGTACAAGGACAAGGCAAGTAACATTAGATGAGCACACCTTGCCTTTATTATTTTTTCCGAATAATACAGAGTAATTAATTACTTTGTCTCTTGCATATATAACATATATCTAGTCATGATGTTCCCATTACAGGTTTTGCCTGAAGCTCCGCAAGAACTCGTAGCAGAACTAGCCTGGCGGTATGCTATCTATCCATTCACAATTTAACACACCCTAATAATACAATCCCTCCATCCACTTTTCGCTGTCCACTTTCGTAAAAATCTCATTTTTTTTTAAAGAAATTACTATTAAAATCACCCAATCTCTAGGATATTTTAGACAACTCATCGTAATTTCATTACTGAAAAATGAAAAGTTGATAGTCTCATGCTGTGTTTTTCCTATATATTCACTCTGCTTGCCCCTTTTTTTTATCTCATGACATTTGGGATTGTTGTTATATGGCTCAAATTGGCAGCTACATTTTCTTGTACGAGACGATAACGAAGTCAAAATTCGAGCTTCCCTCAACAGAGGTAATGAACTCACCCTGCTGCTAATAAGACCATACTTTTTTCTTATTGGTTTGGTTTAATGTGTTCTTATTGGTAATATTTCAAAAAACCCATGGAGCTTTTGCAGGAGCCGATCCATGATCGAATTTCCCGAAATGTTTCTCGAGCTCTTTCTTCTCTCTTGTAAACCGGGTGGCACGCCACCACCGACCTCTCTAAGTACCCTGTTCGGGGAAGACTATCTCGTGATCTGATAGATAGACTAAAAGTTTTAAATAAATGTTTTTGGCATTATGAAAATACTTATCATTGCGTTTCATAATAACAATAATAATAATAATAATAATAAAAAGGAATTGTATTTTGCATATGTTTATTTTGAGCAGCCATAAGTGGGTAGCATTAACTATAAAACCACTGCAATTCAAGTCCGTTTTTTTCAGCCATTCCGCCGCACATGGCCAGGTCGCCGTGACTAGGACGACGAGAGAAATTTATGGCCAATTTGATGCTCTATTGATGAAAATATTAAAAAAAAAAAAAATTTGACTTAAGGATTTTTAATTCTAAGGTTCTTTGAACCCAATAAGGAGAAGGTTGAACACTGGCAACTCTCTATAACGTGAGTTTACCAAAAGACTAATTTTTCACAAAGACTTTCCATTGGCAGACAAAAGAAACAAACACGTGATAATAGAGTGAAAAGTTACAGCAATGTAGTAAAGGTAAAAAAAAAAGGGATTGACTCTGCAAGATTTATGTGTTGGGTCATATTTTGTTTTTTTGTAGAGCATTTATGTTTTAAAATTAGTGCTATTTAAATTTGATTTTTAATAACCGGTTTATAACAATTTGAATGTTTAAAACATGAATTTATGTTAAATTTGAAAATATCAAGTAATTAGATTAATGAATATCTAACAATATTGGACCCTAAAAGTTTGTGCATGTAGATTAAAGAGCCAATGTTTTGGTCTTAATTTGGGTAATTTTCTTAGTTAATTGGTTGATATGGTTGTGGCAGTATTAATGTTACGGAGTATTATTTAATGAATTAATAGTTGACATTTCCAAGTAATGAAAAAAAGATATCCCAAATATATGATCAACTCAAGGAACGATGTAAGATTCGATGATTTATTAGAATAGTAAAGGCGTATAAATAACAGTATGCAAATAATATTTTATAATCGACGTTGAGAATATTGAATTACATTTTCACATTTTTATTGGAGAGCTATTAAATTACGTTGAGCTATTGAATTACGTTGGATACGTCAAAAAATGCATGGCTAGTGGCTCCAACGTACGGAGTATTATTATTGTTTTCTTGATGTCATCCACTTGTACTTCATAATTACTCCATAATTCTTCCAATCTAAAACCTTTTTTCTGGTTTTGATTTGATACGAAGATTAAAAAAAGTATAAAGACTTTTGACATTTTTCTTTGATGTGATGGAATAAAATAAATAATTTAGATTAAAAGTAAGGGTATTTATTAAAAAAATTGTCAAAATAGGAAACAGGAAATAAATGTCTAGACGACCCAAAAAAAAGTCAGAAATAAATTAAGGTGAGTATTTATCAACGGTGTATGTGTATATATAATCTCTTCAAGAATTAATATAGTCACATCAAATTATATCATTCAACAAATTTTGAAAAAAAAACCATAATTAATCAGGTCATCATCACAATTAAGCTTGCAGATCAATGGCAGCTTCATCATCATGGTCGTCAATTAATTGGTTTCCCGGGCCCTAATTCTTCTGCGGGTTTCTTGTCAAGAAGAAACCACCCTAGTTATTCGAGATCGCAGACAACCTCAAACAACATTATTAATTGTTGAAATTAAACTTGCAGAGGTTTTGTTGCCTGCTTGAGCGCCATTGATCCCTCGGCCGGAATTCCATTGCCAGATTCGAATCCACTGTAAGTATACTCGTGCTTGTCCTCACATGTTAAAAAACTTAATTTTTTTTAAAAAATAAAAATCTATTATGATATTTAATTTCAGTACTATAATTTTCTTATGTTTATTACTCCCTCCGTCCCAAAAAGATTTACACCTTTCAAAAAAATTGTGTCCCACAATCTCTTACCCATTTCTATTAAAAAACCACTTTTACCCCTTACTTTTTCAAACCCTACCTATCACATCATATTTTTTTCTAATAATCTACACATCACATTCTACTTTTACCCATCACATCAAAGGTATTTTTGAAAAGTCAACACAAAATTATCCCTCCCTTAATTTCAACTTTAGTCAAAACGTGTAAATCTTTTTGGGACGGAGGGAGTATTATAATATTAATTGTTGTTTTAAAAAATTACCGTATATAATTGAATTTATTATGAACAAGACCCATTTTTTTCATCTCGTCCAGGACCTTCAAATCCTCGGGACCGGTCCCATAAAATGTGACATACTCCCTCCGTCCCAAAAAGATTTACACATTTCAAAAAAATTGCGTCCCACAATCTCCTACTCATTTCTATTAAAAAAACCACTTTACCTCTTACTTTTTCAAACCCTACCTATCACATCATACCTTTTTTCAAATAATCTACACATCACATCCTACTTTTACCCATCATATCAAGGGTATTTTTGGAAAGTCAACACAAAATTATCCCTCCCTTAATTTCAACTTTAGTCAAAACGTGTAAATCTTTTTAGGACGGAAGTAGTACTATTCGTTGAACAATTATTTTTTTATTTGCAGAAAGGGATGGCTGATTGGGGTTCTCATATCAGCCGTTTTACCATTTTTCCGACACAAATTAGGGTCGTTAATGCAAATCAAAAGTAAGATTTCATTATAATACTCCCTCCGTCCCTAGATAGATTACAATTTTTTTTTCTCTCTTCTCGATAATTTTTGTTTGTTTACTCGATTTCATTAAGTATTTGATAAAATAAAATATTCTTGTTACCTCTTGTTTTGTAGAATTTTTGACGTACTTTTTTAATATGTAATTTTTATATCCAATTGATATACCAATTTGTAAATAAAATGATTTCAAAAAGTAGGAATTTTTTCTCCGTAACCCACAATTTGTAATCAAATTGGGGACGGAGGGAGTAACTAATTTTACACCTAAGCTAGCAGCTAGCTCTAGTTTGTGTTAGTCTTAGAATATAACATTTCGACCTAGAATCAAATAAATTGAATTGAAAATAAAGTTGGTCGAACCTTGTAATAAACAGAAACGGGAAGAATGTTTTAGGACGGAGAGAGAAAAAAAATTCTGAGCCACAACCACAAGCTTGAGCTTTTCGTTTAGTTGGTTCTTGACATGGTATTAGAGCTTTGTTGACTAAAAGGTCACGAGTTCGAAACTCATCATCATCCAGTTTAAAAAAGGGGAATTTACCTAAATAGTACTAAAAGATAATAACTTTCCTTAAATAGCACTACATATGCACTTTTAGTCATTATCCATTAGTCATTATTCAAGTGAATGTTTGCAATCACTGGTCATTATTGACATTATAGAGTATTATTTAGGGAAAAAAAATAATCTAAGTGCTATTTAGAGAAATGACTTAAGTCTTAGTGCTATTTAGTGCAAATATTTCTTTAAAAAAATAAGATTTCATATGCAAGACTCGAAAAAATTATGCCTACACGTGACTACGTGAGGGGCATATTGGAATACAAGAAATATTTCTTGGGCCACAATCACAAGCTATTTTGTTGGATAGATTTTTTTTTCAAATTTTGTTATTCATTGATTATTATTATTATTATTACTATAATTATTTCCTTTTTTGAATGGATAATGTACGTACATACAGATACTATAAATGAAGTGGAAGAAATGGTGCATAGTGTGGAAAAGATTGCAGAGGTGGTGGACAAGGTGGCCGAAGAAATCGGCGGGAAGCTCCCCGCCTGAAAACTGAAAGATGCGGTGGTGATATTGGAACGTGCGGCCGAGATGGCCGATATGGAAGCGGAAGTGTTAGGAGAATTAATAGATAAGGTGGAAGAAGTGGAAGAGACGGTGGAAGACCGGGTGGAGTCGTTGGTGGAATTGGCACACCGCCGAGCTCCGGCCGGTGGTATATAACATACAGATCGACCTGCAACCAGAAAATAAAAAGTGCTTTAATTTATTCATCTATTCATTACATAATAAAAAGAAAGATGTTTTCACTTTATCCGAGAATAAGATTTTTATTTGATTTTTCATTATTTTCAATGTAATATTTTGATCATTAATATTTATTGATATATTAATATAAACGTCCTCCATGGACCGTAATGATGCTTAATATTTTGATTTTACATTTCATCCATTAGATTGTCAATAGATTTGAATAAATTAATGTTTTATACTCCCTCGTTACACAAAACATTTTCGTTTTAATTTTTTACGCAGCTCATAAAATGCGTCTATCCCACCTAAAATGTCTAAAATATCCCTAAAACAACTTCTACCCGCAATAAACTACATAGTGAAATATATTTTAGATATTTTAGGTGAGAGTAAAAAGCATTTAATGAAGTGAGCAAAAATTTAGGACGAAGGAATTTTAAGAAACGGATGGAGTATATGAATACTATTTTGTCATTATTAAATATCATATCATCACAACCTAACCAAAAATATATTTTGGGAAAATACACATTTTCTTCTAGAATCCCGGAGGTCCCTATTAGTATTTTAAAAAACAGTCAAATGCGATTATGCGAGTGATTTTGACTACCCATGCACGGATAGGCTTAAACCAATTCAAGCCCGACTTTTCAGCCATTCCGCCGCACATGGGTGGCCGGGTCGCCGTGACTATTGCGGGACATAAAAAGTCAATTTTATTATTTTTTATTAAAAAGTTAATTTTATCCATATTAATTATTAACGTACGTTTCACATCACTTTTTTTATTATTAATCTATCTATCATATATTACTTTTACCATCTTATTCAAAAATATTTTTGGAAAATCAACTCCAAAATATCCTCATCTTAAATCCTTTAAAATCAAATATGTAATATTTTGTCGGACAGAAAGAGTATGTAATAGGAGAAATCGAATTTACTTTCTTTAGTGGAAAATTTGCCCAATTTTAAAGACTTTTCAAGTGTAAGACCTAACAAGAGAATATGGGAAGAACCTTCTCCCTTTGAACATTTGGGATTTTTCAGCGTTGCTTGAAAAACGCGCCCCAATTTTCGTGACGACTTTGTCCATTTGTCGTCCCATTTTTACCTTTCATTTCTCTTTGTTCACTTTTAAAAATTACATTCATTCAATATGTTTACTCGTTTGGATTTTTCACAACGAAATTGGAAGAATTTTAATTATTAATTAATTAAAATGTGCTCCCTCCGTCCCTAAAAACTTTTCTCCTTTTTTTCATCCGTCCCAAAACATACTTCTTATTTTTATTAAAAAATCACTTTTACCCATTACTTTTTCATACCCTATCTATCACATCATACCTTTTTACTAATAATCTACCAATCAAATCCTACTTTTACTCATCCCATCTAAGGATATTTTTAGAAATTCAATACCAAAATATACTCCCCTTAAATTTTTTCAAAATCAAAACATATCATGTTTAAAAGGGCGGAGGGAGTATATTACTGTGTATCAGTACAGAAACATTAAAGTGTTGTACTAATTAATTCACTACAAATTAAAGTGAACCAAATTAAAAAACAGAAGATTTTTATACGGATGGCGTACCAAGTCAAGAGCTATTAAAATGATAAACTCCGTGTTTAATCTAGACTTTGTATTATGAGTAGGAAAAGTCAAAAAAAAATGCATGGCTTTGTGTACATACATACATATATATACATATACATATATATATATATACACACATAGAAATATAATTAGAACTAAACTTGAATGCCTTTGATTACACATAAATCCGCTATTTATAATAGCTACAAGACCATTACTTAATTACGAGCCCAACAACAATGAGTCCGTTAACGACAAACCCTACTACATTCCTTAACAATATATGTGTGTGTGTGTATATATATATACCATTTCAAATAATTTTCTTCCTCATGTATATATATACTCTGTATTTAATTAATTTCAATTCCTCAAGAATCGTTAATTATAGCATCAAAAATATTTCCTCCTTTCCGTAGGTTGCTGATATAATCTTTCATCCATTTCCCAACTGGGAACATTTTTTTTTATTTCAAAATAAAAAAGAAAAACACACCATAATCATCCACTTAATTCATTTACCAGATTTATATAACAATGGCAGCTTCATCATGGTCATCAATTGGTTTCCAAGGCCCTAATTCTTCTGCAGGTTTCTTGTCAAGAAGAAACCCTAGTTCTGGGTCACCAACAACGTCAAAGAACATCATCGTCTTCGAAGGTCTGCAAGTGTCGTCGTCCGCTCGTCCGGGAGCTTATCGTTGTCTTCGTCGTCCTCTTCATCATCATAATTGCAACTCTTCATCTTCTTCCTCCCCCCTCAAAAATGGCAAAAATTGGCACACTACTAGTTATGCCGAAAGGTACATATATTACTATTACTCTTGTCCTACCGACGACTTTCGTCCCATTTTAAGTTGCTTGTTTTTTTACAGTGTTTAAATAAATTGAGTTATTTACTTTTTAGGGAATATCAAATTATTTTATTTTAAAATTTGGGTAGGTATAAAAAAATTTATATACCGTATTTAAAAACATTACGCACTAAAAATTCTACTCCGTACAATATATATCTCATGAATATATATTATTTTAATCCGGTGGAATCCAATTGATTATTTAGTTCAACTCAAGATCTTATATACCGAATATTTTTCTTCCTACTTTTAAAATGTGGTCTGGGATACATTACTCTAACACTCCACCTTGTTAGAGTGTCATCCAACATCGAAAGTTCAAGAGCAAAATAATCGATATATAAGCTCTTGAGTTGAAGTCACTAATCGATTAAATTCAATATTTTAATGTGATTTAGCTAAAGTGTCTTATTGCTTAATCCAGTTGTCCATACTTATCCTAAATTCTATCACACCTTGGGTGGCCAAACGGACAATTTTGAACATAACCAGTTTGACTACTTATAAATTGATTCTCATCTGCCAGATATATTTTTTATATGCGTCAACACCTAAAGGACCATGAGTCGTTGGATATGGACTTTCAAACGAGCAATCGGATAAAACGAGCCACGGGCCGTTGTATTTACATTCCACACAAAAAACTTGTTAATTAGAGAAAAGGATTGTTAGGAATGAATGTCTAGGCGAACACCTTAACAAATAAAGTAGCTAAAACTAGCTCCGATACCATCTAGAATTTTGGCATAAATTGTTTTGCGTTTCGTTACACACACACACACACACACACACATGTACATAAGTGGGCTTAAAGTGAGACCCAAAATACTACTTCGAGCTAAACTTAGGCCTTGTTTGGGAACAACGTTAGAGATTAGCGTTAGCGTTTTGGATAAAAATTTAATGGTGTAGATTAATTCTGAAAACGCTAACGCTAAAGGCTACCGTGAGATAACCTTTTGAAAACGCTAACGCTAATGTCTAATGCTGATGCCAAACGAGACCTTATTATACTCCATAATTAATAATTACCTGTACTAAAAAAAATAAACCAAGTATTAAATAATGAATAAATTGTGCGTAGAAATAAAACTTGCAGGGGAATTATTGTAGCGTGCTTGAGCGGCGGCATTGATCCTGCAGCAATTCCATTGCCGCCTTCTGCTTCCTCCCCAGATTCTAATCCACTGTAAGTCCTGTCCGCTTGATATATTCTCACACATGACATATAATCATCATCGAACTATGGAGTAATAATATAATTAAGTAATAATAAGACGGTTAAACTTTAATTAACTTTTTACTAAAACCCGACAATGTTTAGATTTAAAGTTGTAAATTTTGATTTTTCTTGATCCCTGTTTGTAAATTTTAACCCCATTATGTGGAAAAAAAAGAGAAATTTACTTAAATAGCACTAAAACATAATGACTTTTCCTAAATAGCATTACATATGTTTTTCTTCCCAATGTAGCACTTTTAGTCATTATGCATTGGTCATTTTTAATGCATGAGTCATTGTTTTATGATAGAAATGTAATATAAATCTATAGATATCTTTTGAGATATGTAGTTTTGAAATATCAAATTCTTATAAAATATATTAATGGTCAAAGTATTATACTCCCTTCGGTTCTAACACTATGCACGAGAGTTATTGATTTTTAAGAGATTTAAGAGAAGTTTATTTTGGTATTGAATTTCCAAAAAAGTCATAAAAGTAAGAGTTGATGAGTAGATTATTAGTAAAATGGTAGAATTTGATAGGTAAGGTATGAGAAAGGTTTTCAGGGACAGAGGGATTATTAGAACAAATTAATATCAATAGATTTATTTTAAATTATATTTTTAAATTTTTTTATAATATATATTTATATATAAATAGATACATTGATGGTGAAAGTATTGAATTAGGAATCGTGAAAAGTCAAATGAAAAAAAATTATTTACTGAAGAAGTATAAATTCACTCTTTTAATTAAGTTTGATGATGAGTGAAGCCATTTTTATCTTCTTATGGGCGCGGTTATTCATTTGCAGAAAGGGATGGCTGATTGGGATTTTGATATCAGCCGTTATTCCATTTTTCCGTCACAAATTAGGGTCCTTTATGCAAATCAAAAGTAAGCTTTTTTTTTGGGTTTCTTAAACTATTTAATTTGAAATTATTAATTATCTTTCCGACATGTTTGATTTATTTCTCTTTTTCTTTTTTTCTTAATGCATATATGTACATACAGATGCTATAAGTGAGGTGGAAGAAGTGGTCCACGGCGTGGAAAAGGTGGCAGAGGTGGTGGACAAGGTGGCCGAAGATATCGGCGGGAAGCTCCCCGCCGGGAAATTGAAAGATGCGGTGGGAGTAGTGGAACGCGCGGCTGAGAAGGCCGACAAGGACGCGGAGGCGTTAGGAGAGATAATCCACAAGGTGGAAGAAGTGGAAGAGACGGTCGAAGAGGGCGTGGAGTCGTTGGTGGAGTTGGCGCGCCACCAAGCTCCGGCCGGTGGTACATAAAATACTCCATATAGACCTGCCGCCAAAATAGAAATTTTTTAAAACTAATTGAGTTTGACAAAAACATTACTTCAATCTATTTTGTCAAACTCTCTAGTTCACTACTGTTCTGTCCTATATTTTTTTTCACTTTTGACTTTGTTAATAAAAAATTATACCCTTCTTGTTTTAATTCAATTTGTATATTTTTTATTTATATAATCAAACTTTTACCATAACATCATTGAATTCCATGATAAAAAATGTGTGAAATGAAACACTAAATTTTTAAATTAAATTTTTATAATTGGTCCTTAATAATAAGTTTCTCTATTTAGTTCTTTATTATCAAATAATACTCAGATGATCCTTCTTTATGAATATCTTTCAACAAATTGTCTTTTTTTATCTTCTATCATGTTCGTCTTAAATTGACGGCTAAAAGTGTAATTTCACAATAATAATACTCCCTCCGTTCGACAAAACCCTTCCAGTTTTGTCTCTGATGTGATGGAAAAAAGTAAGATGTGATAGTTTGGTTATTAGAGAAAAAGTATGATGTGATAGATAGGGTATGAAAAAGTAGGAGTAAAAATAAGTTTTTTAATAGAAAGTAGAAGTGTTTTGTGAAAAACAAAAAAATGAAAGAAGAAAGGTTTTGTGGAACGGAGAGAGTATATCTTTCTTATCATACACAATTTCATAGACCCTTCCTCATACGTCATTTGTGATTTTTCATTGAAATCCTAACCACAAGTATAATCAGTTTTTTGTGTTATCTATCTAACCAATACCAAAATACGTCACTGGAAATAAAGTTAATATTAAATTATACTTTTAGTTTTTACATTAAGACCAACATGCTAGAAATAAAAAACTATTTGTGAAAAAAATTGGGAAAAAAACTACGAGAATAAAATTTAATACTCCCTTCGTCCCAAATTATAATGCATATTCACTATTCACATGGTCAAACTTCATTCACTTTCTTTCTCTATTTTCGTTAGCAATTTGATAAAATAAAATATTATTGTCACTACTAGTTTTCTATATCTTTTGATGTAGTTTTTTAATATGAAATTTTTATTTTTTAATTTTATACCATTTGTCATATGAAATGATTTGAAAATAATTTCAATCAAACATCATAAACCAAAACAGGCGTTATAAAATGGGACAATGGTAGTAATAGAATTTTAAATATGAAAAACAATTTATTATAAAAAATTAATTATGAAATTTACTCAAACTTTTAATCACTTTATCTGTCTTAACTCGTAAGAAACCTTTACATATATTGTTGTACCTCTCTTTGCATTAAAGATTCGTGGAATTTGAAATGCAAAAATCCAGCAAAAAAGAATTGGCCATATGTTGGACTAGAGGCATACAAAAAATCATGCATTACGGCCTCAAGGGTTGAAAGTGAATAGGAGACTGATCTATTGGTCATGTGGAGATACGGTTCATGAAAATCACAAAAAAAAAGAAGAAGAATTACACACTTGGAAGTCACATTTCCATGAAAATTGCCAAACAAAAAGTGTATCAAAATGACAAAACTGGGTTCGACAACAAAAGGAGAGTCTTGATTAATTATCAGAAACTAATCCATTGCGGCATTAACGAGCACAGCTAAGCCACGAGGGTGCTGGCTGTGGTGGACTCGTATTTCCACACGGGAGGGAGCTTCTTGGTCTTCTTGTAGTAACGAGCAAGACGATGAATCCTACTCTCCACTAAAATCAGGCGGAACTTGGAGTCCTTGTCCTTCCTGTTCCTCTCCAAGTGCTTCCTGATTGCAACTGCCTTCTTGATCAAATGGTAAAGATCTTCGGGGATCTCAGGGGCAAGACCTACACCCAAACAAATCTCAGTTTTAGGCTTGCGGTATTGATAAAACAACAAATATGAGTGAAGCTCTACTTAATGAATGCTTACACAAGCATGAACCCGATATCAAGTTTTGTTATTGAACAAATACTTGTAAAGCTAGTTAAAAACTTGGTTTGGAGCCTGTGTGGGATTTTTACATGCGGTTGGAAATCCTAGCTTGGACGACAAATGCAATAGAAAATGATGAGATATTCTGCTATGTTAATGTAACAAGGAGTACTATTGTTTTAAGAGTATTCGTAAATATAATCATTGAATTTTTAGTAATTAGATTATCATTTTACCTCAAATCATACGTACAAATGTTAATTACATTGTTTTAATAATGCATACTCTATATCAACTACCTAGGATGGAAAACATAGTTTATCAGTCTCTAAAATAGAACTCCCTATATTGCATCAATTTAAATACAATCATACTGAGTACGATTTTTGGTCTTTTCAGAAGTAAAATTTTAAAATGCAGTAATAAATTTTGTACCGGAACTACAAATGCAACACCAAATTATACCATAAAAAATAGCAAAGCAAGCTACTGGAAAGGATAGAAAAAATACCATGTCCCTTGAGGATGCGGAGAATCTTGCTGCCAGTGACACTCTTCACCTGAGCAATTCCATGGGAATCACGCAATATTACACCAATCTGAGAAGGAGTCATACCTCTCTTTGCAAACTTGCAGATACTCTCTTCCACCTGCATAAATTAATTTATTAAAATAATAAACAATTAATCGATTCCAACGTATTATTCTGACTGCACATCAACGAACAAAAAAAAAGAGTCTTTCGCTTAAAAACTCACTTCTTGAGATGAGATCTTGAGCCAACTGGGAGGAGTCCTCTTGTACGGCGGAGCCGAAGCGGACATGCCCTTTCTGAAATTCAAAGCAAATCAAGTGATTTATAGACCTATGATCAAACATTCCTTTGTGCAATTGAATAAACATAATAAAGACCAACGAGTAGATTTAACATACCCCTTGCTGTGCATACGACCCATGGTGGCGGCTGGCAAATATAGGACCAAAAATCCCTGTAATCTCTGGGAAATATTAAACTTAAATCAGAGGGACAAATAATGATACAATGAAGTTCTCATTTTTAGAGACCCAAAGTATGTCAGAATTTATGAAAAATGACTTGATGCCACAAAATTGATCTTTTTCAAACAATTTCTCATACACTTAACAATAGAACATGAATGACCATACATTGCAAATAAAGTCATTAATGCATCAATATAAATTACTACATTTACATTATATGTGTGTGTCTGCAAAAATTAAATATTAAAATTGAATTTTGTAATTCCAGCACCTATACAAATAGAAGCAATTCGCATATATTCATTAATCTCGCAACAATACAATCATCTGCGCGTTGGCTTCGTTTAGAACAATTTCACTCTAATCTCATCGAAAAATTGTTAAATAGATCAAAAGTTCGATCCAAATGATTGAACTATACTAAAAATAATGATAAAATACTGATCCGGAAATTAAGATTCATATCTGTAAAACTGAAAAAAGGTGTTCGAATCGATAAAAATGAAAGTAGAAGCGGCGAAGAAGGAAGATCTGAGCTAGGAGAATGGAATACCTGCGGCGGAAGGACGGTGAACTCTGCAATGGGACGCCGGCGAAAGGCAAAGAGAAGGTTATATACTCTTTGGGAAATGGTCTGATCTTTCAGGGTTTTAGCGGAAAGAATTAGGTCTGGGCTTGAATCCAATTATAAGCTTAAACAACAAGCGGCCCAAATGTATTCATATAGAGAGTAGTCCCTTTTTTTTCATCTAACCAAACAAAACATTACTCAACTTATGATATTTAAAACAATATTGGAATAATTGTAATATGTAGTTAAAATTCATTTTTATAAAAAAGAAATCAAGTGAAATGGATATTCATTATTCTACTTTGTTTTTGAGATCATAAATAAAATTTGCAGAAAATGAAGTGAAATGGATTTTCATTTTTCGAATATCTAAAAGTTGAGTGAGAAAGATTTTCTAACCAATAGGAGTAATGTTGGTTTGTTGATTTGTTGGCTGGAAGACATTTCGAGTGGTGTTTTGGTGGGTAGGTTTGTGTTTAGGAGAAGAAACCTTAACAGGCCCACGGTCGGCGCCAAAAATGATGGTGTAAATTACTTGACCGGTCAAACTATACTAGACCGGGTCTAGAATAGTTCGCTTGATTTGGCAAAGTAGGAAAGGCAAAAACACGCAGATTGACCGGTAGGACTTTAGGTGGAACACCTGTAGCCCAATTT